AGTAACCCGTTTCCTCCGGCAGCAACATGAAGTCCGACACTATCCTCACCTCCGGCGTCACCCACATCTCCGGCAGCCAGTGAACACCCAGCAGTGTGATTTCCCCCGCTCCGCGCCGTATTTTTTTGATCAACTCGTATCAAACCCCACTCATACGTAAGAAATTTCCTTCGGCCTTGATGTTCTCCTTTTCTAGATTTCGGTTCGTTCTAAATTTTCTCAGCTAAAACCCTTTTAATTTTTTTTCCTTCAGTGTTTTTTCCTTTATTTCAGTTTTCGTTGCTTGATTCTTGAATGAGCCTAAAAGGATAAGATTTTCTGAATTGGGCAAAAGGCTGATTTTTTTATTATTGTTTGGGGGTAAAGATCATCGTTATTGGGCAAGTTGGTATGTGAGAATTCAATGAATTCGCCATTAAATTATCCATTTTTGAACCAGAAGATTGCATTTTTACTTCTAGCCAAATGGGTCTCGTAGAAATCCAGCCATTTCTTTTTTATATACATATTATTTGAGATTTTGTCTACCATTTCTTTTTCACATTTACTTGAAGAAGAATTGATGGCTACTAGAAAGAGCCAAGATGATTTCCGATAGTAAAGAATGATAAGTATTCAGTTCTTAGACTTGTAAATTAGGAAAATGTGATTTTGGTGTTTCACATTTAACTTAGATGCTGATTGAGGAGTATAAAATTGAGCTGAGATGCTGATTTTTGTTGTGGTTTAACTTAGATGCTGAATTTGTAGATTCACATTGCACTTAAAATGCTGACTTTGCAGTTGAACATTTCACGTAGATGCTGATTTTTCAGTTTAACATTGAACATAAATGCTGACTTTTTTGGTTGTTCAATTTACCTTAAATGCTTGTTTTTCAATTTAACATTATCTTACATGATGATTTTATTATTTTGACATTTGGTAGACATAAATGTAAATTGGTTTGATTCAGGAACACAGAATGCCGGGAAAGAACTTCGGAGTTTGTCACGGTTGCAAGAGTGTTGGACACTTCTTCAGTGATTGCCCGATAAAACGTTGATGTCCACTTTGTGTGCATGGATTTCAGAAGTTTTTCGAGGTTGAAAAGGAGACTGTTAACAAAAGAAGATTCTTCAAATGTTGTAGTTTGAAGTGTGGCTTTTGGGATTGGTGCAAAGATGGAGAAGTAAATAGTGAATCTAGCAGTACTAGGGCTGAACCACAAGCGGATGAAGAAGTTGAAGATATGTCGCGAATGTTCCAATCTAAAGTTTGGCTAAATAAAGAAGACAAGCTATTGATTTCTGTGACCGTGCATGTGACGGTTCGTCGAGCTTGATTAGTTGTTTACGGTGAACTGGTCATCTTTTGTTAATATCGGCATTTTGTAAATCTCAAATTGGTCAACTAGTCTAGTGCAATCAATTGGTATATTTTGGGTAAAGTATAAATTTCTACTTCATGTACCTTGACACTCGTGAAATTATGATATGAGCAGTTTGTTGAATGCTTAGGTATTTATGTTTTCGAAGTATAAACCTACAGCTAGTCAATTTGTACATTTTCGTTGAATGAAACATTTATTATAACAATCATCATCCAAACTACCAATGAAGCAAAACAAAAACATTTATTACATTAGTGTTCAGTCAGTATTAATAGCATCAAAAACAGACTAATATAATAAATAGCAAACTCGATTGCTGTTTGCTTCATCAGACGACGCTTTGCTTAGTTGTTCGCTTCACTTTAAATGGAGCCACTATGATGTGCTAAATGTGGATCGTTGTATGGGTTCTCAGTACCTGACATATGAATTTAAATTAATAAGAGTTGATTACTTGTCAACTTGAAGCCTTCCAACCAAAATATATACGTACCTTGTGAATTCAAATCCACATTTGACGACATTGAACTCCTCTTCCTAATTGGAAAACCTACGGCATAAGCATATTTTGCATGAAAATCATACATCTTTTTCATCCTTGAACTGCATACTAACTTGAGGCACGATAATTTCATTTCCTCCTATTGTTTCATCTTCCACGACATTCACATTGTCCTCCACATTCTCATTTTCGGAATCGACATTCATAATAACTTCCATATTTGCCGAATCCTGCAAAACATAGACAATCACCCATTATTTAGGTGTTCAAAATGCCCAAAATTCATTCAAAATTTAGGCTCCAATAATTTTCATTGATTTTTGTTCTTTTTAATTTCATAACAAAATTCAGCATAATTGGGTTTCAAACTTTTCCCTATTTCAGCTCTACCAATCCTTTTCCCCAATTCTATTTTACATCCATTAAACAACTCTAATTCGCAGTGAAGATCAACAGGTAAAATTACAGGAAAAATCCTACTTTATCCTTATTTCAGCTCTACCAATCCGAAACTTAATAATTATGTTTTACATCCATCAAACAAATCTAATTCACAGTGAATATCAACATGTAACATTACAGGTAAAATCCTACTTCATTTATTAGTTTCTCTCTCCCCTACATCTTCAATTCGCAATGAATCATAAAAAAGTAAATTTACAGGCTCAAACTCCCTTGACTGCAAGCTAGAAAAGAATACCACATGACATCCCCCACACAATTAATATGTTGAGTTCTCACAACAATCATGTCCAGTTCAGGAACTAAAATCACATTCTTACCATAGGCTCAAACTCCCTTGACTGCAAGCTAGAAAAGAATACCACATGACATCCCCCACACAATTAATATGTTGAGTTCTCATAACAATCATGTCCAGTTCAACTAAAATCACATTCTTACCATAGGCTCAAACTCCCTTGACTGCAAGCTACTGATGAAGATCTTGAGAATGACCGCCTCTGCAATTCGGGTGCGTTGAAACCACAACCTCTTTGCCAGTTTTTTATTTCTCAAAAGTTCGAGTATTGAGCAGCTTCTTGTTGAAACTGCGGCTACTAAATCAGATGACTGGTTTCTAAATGCATGAAATGGGAAGAAGTAGAAGTCGGTGAACACCGCTTGGAGCTCGTTGAAGACCAATTTCTGTAATTGAATGTTTCCAATTCTGGAACTGAATGCTTGGAGATGATGAAGCATATGTGTAATTTGGGGGAATCGATTTGGGGGAAATGGGGACCGATTTTCTTGTTTCTGGAACTGAATGCTTGGAGAAGATGAAGACCAATTTCTGGATTTTAGGCCCAAAAATGGGTCTTGGACGAGGAAGATCGATCTCAATTTTAGATCTGGAAATGGGTCTTTGATGAGGAGGGGGAAACGGGGAGAGAGAAGATGGTTTGGGGATTCAATAATGCAATGTTGTTTCCTTCCCTTTCCCTTTTTGTTTTGGTGCCATCAGTTTCATCCTTATAAATCCTATCCGTCCACTTCCAATTCATCTCAACCATACACGTCACTTTGTAAAGAAACTTTGTCAACCAACTTGGTACAAACAGCATTATTCTTAGTTTGACACTAGAAACAGTCCAATAACCTATTCAAAATTTTGCTATAATTCTAACGATTACCATTATCTTATATGGTATGTTTGAGCAACAATTTTTAGGAGAATAGATTTTTAATAGTGATTATTTTTAGAATGAGAGATTGAAAAGTAGGAAAAAAATTATTTTACGTACAAAATTGTTTTATTTGGAGGGTGGTTTACTATTTAAAATAAGTTTTAAAAAATAATTTTTTAAAGAATTGGACTAAAACATGGTCTTATTTTCTTTCCCTTATGATAAACTAAGCCTTGCTCAACCTTCAAAGGGACCTAATTGGAATAAATTAGAGTTTAATGACCCAATTGACATTAGGGCTGTCCGTGGGTCGGGTTGGTTCGGTTCTAAAGAGAACTGAACCGACCCAAAACTTTCGGATATTTAATAAATGGAACTGTCGGGTTCAAATATAATTATGGAACCGTTCGGGTTCGATTCAGTTCCGTACCATAATTAATTTTTTTAATATTTACAGCAATACTATATAAATACAACTAACGCATGTCATTCGTAATTTTTACAAATTAACGTAGTCCAATTCAAAAACATATAAATAACTAGCCGTCCAATAAGATTAATTCAATGCATACAAATACCAAAAAGTAAATATTGATATTACAGCAACATTACATAAAGTAAATTCATTTCCTTCAAATTAAAATGGGCCAATGGGCTTTAAAATTAAAATTATGAAATAATCTGATTTATTTAATTAATTTGCTAATCTGTTTAGAAAAAAATAAAATAATTTAATTAATTCAATATAAAAAAATTTATTTAATTTCGATTCTTATTCGATTCTTCGGTTCTTGATCGAGACCCGAGACCCGACTCAAATCTATCGGTTCTCGATTAGGGTACCCGTTCGGGTATTTAATTTATGAAGAATCGCTCAATTCGGTTCGGTTCGAGACTTTTGAGTACCCCTAATTGACATTTCCCTTAAAAGTCAGCAATTGCAAATGAAATTGAATTAAGATACTTGTATATTACTTTTGTACATCATGGATGAAATTCCATAGTGCGTAAAAATTGAGGTCATTATTTGTTTTAAGTGTTAAAATCAATGGTAAAACTGTGTGTCACATCATAGCACACATCGTAGAGGGTAAACAAAGTTGTCAACAATGATGTAAGTGTAGCAAAATTGTAGATATTCCTCAACTACTAATTGAAATCCACAAGAAATATGAAATAGTTGTTACTCATGGTAGCAAAGAAATTATTGCATCTCCGATCAAACAAGCCAATAGAAGAGATGATTCTATTTAGCAAAAATAAAGAAAGTCCCCATGGAGAATCGATTTCTCGCTAAAAATTCAGCAATTGCAAATGAAATTTATTCTGTATAGAGTTGAAATTCTCACCTTGAAATTAAAAAAACACAAAAAGGAAAAAAAAAAAAAACCCCTTACCAACAAATTTCTTAGCCAAAAATGGATCCAGATGGAGTATCGACTTTTCTTTCCAAACATATTTCAATTTTTTGGTCGAATAAAAAATTGATGGACGAGGAATCCTACAGCACACTGAAGTGGCCCGGGATCCTTGTACTGCAAGCTGGACACATTGAACCAATTGCACCTGTTGCTTCCATTTCAGGCTGGTTAGTCTCGTGATAGAACACATTTCTGCACCAAACGCAAACACTAGAGCTCTTGCTCCTATTGTCTGTTGTATTTGGCATCAGAGCATTGTTTCCCAGCCAAAATGAGGAATCGAGTCCTTGTTCCATATTTGTGTTGTGCGAGAAAGCACTGGACTCCATGGGGATAACATTTGAACTGTTTGAACCCAGAAAACTGTATTCAACTGGTTCAGCTCTACCTGAGCTCATTCCTTCAACATTAGCATTGATATTGTACTTCTCCTGAACTTCGAATAATCCTTGCGCATCCTGCCGGCATAAGATATAGATGAAATAAGTATAGAAACAGAACCAGGAACGCATGACTTGCTTCATCAATTGGGTCAAATTTGAAGAAATGAAATCAATCCCTGCCAGTTCTGAATTTAAATGGGGAAATTGAACCTACAACTATAAATCAGCCAATGCTACACCTGAAGTAGAAATGATTCCTCAGTGAAAAATCCTAACCATCTGATTAGTAAATTTTAATTTTCAAAATGGACGGAGAAAAAACTGATATTGAAAAGCAGAATGCTTGTTTACAAGATTACATGGTGTGATTAGTTTAGTGTCGGTATGTAGATACCAATTGGGGGGCATAGAATACATATGGTGAGCTACAACAATGGTTAAAAAGCCGAACATAGCTAGGTTACAAACAATTGAGCATTCCACCCAACACATCATGACAGGCAACTACAGATTAAGCAAGAATTCTTGCAATAAGAAAAAATTCTGAGTTCAAGATAGTGCCCCACATTTGAACAAATGCAGAGCTTAAATAAATCTCATTAACATAGCTAGGTTAAAAACAATTGAGCATTCCACCCGACACTTCATGACAGGCAACTACAGATTAAGCAAGAATTATTGCAATATGATAAACATTCTGTGTTCAAGATAGTGCCCCACATTTGAACAAATGCAGAGCTTAAATAAATCTCATTAAAGAGCAACCAATGATAAGACAAGAACTTTACAAGTCCTAAGCTATACAGTGTAACTTGCACGGTTGAACCTTGTGCATGCATGTATGAAAAAACCTGAACAAATACTGCACATTAAAGTTTCTTAATGGGTACCTGATCTGACATTATATCAAAGGCATGAAAGGAGCTTGATGGTTGCACTTGTGGACTTGTAGTAGCAGTGAAACTACCCTGCAAGATATTTTCTTGACCAGTTGTCCAAATGCCTTCAGCCAAGACATCCTCAACAGGCTGCAGATTGTTTCTGCCAAAACCAATTATGAAGTCGGTTCCAGAATTTCCTATCTGATTGCCTCTGGGTCCATCCTGGTCCCTGCCTGAATAATAATTCATGCCGAAACTAGTTCCAAGTTCACATGTTTTGTTGTTTATAGACGAACCAAGTAAACCAAACCCCAAAGGTTTTCCACATTTGGCATCCTCTACTGCACTACTTTCATTGTTACTAAAATTATTTTGAAAACCAAATGTTCTCTCGGTGCCAGATTGAACACTAATACTACCTAGAAGATTTTTTTCCTGTTCAACTGTATCAGACTTTGTATGGAATTCCGTAAGGAGATGGCCAGAAGAAAGGCTCAGGTTATGATTTCTAGGGTTTTCTATTTCATGAAGTTTAGGATCATTCACAGAGGTAGTTGAGATCTTATTTGCAGTATATGCCTCATTAGAGACTTCTGCAGCACAAGACTCTGTGAGCAATACACTTCCAGATGGTTCCTGTTTGCACTCTTCTGCAACACTGCTGATCACCTGGATTACATCATTTTCTATCATAATATTTTTCTCGGTTTCAAATGCAGAAGGAGAACAATGTCGAACAATTTTATCCTCCTCAATGCCAATCACAGCATCAGAATTTAGTTCAGTATGACTACCGACAGAAAGAAACGGTTCACTAGTCCTAACATTTTGGACGCCATCAACTTCAAGCATTTCCATTTTTCTTCTGCAAACCTTGTCAACAAGATATTCAGTACCAATGATCCTCTCATGATCAGATAAAGTAAGCAAACTGCCTCCATGTGTATTTTGCACCCCCACTTCCTTCCCCAAACAAGTAGCCTCCTCATTTCCATAATTTTTAATACTTGATTGCTCATACCAAGATAGAACTGAAGAGATCCCAAATTGCATTTCCTCCTGAATTCTACTTGGAGCATCCTTATCTGCTTCATAATTGCCATTCCCACTGGTTCTGAAGCTACATTTTCCATCAAGTATATACTCACCAACTGAGCTGGGTGCAATTTCTTTAACTTCTCCCTCATCATTTACAGCAATATCACATGCTTTCACATTATCATCTGAACCAAATAAACCACTTCCAGAGACTTTGTCTTGTTTGGAATCCTCTAAGGTAACAGAATTTTTAATTATCTTACTAAAACCAGCTGTTGTTTCAGAGAATGGAAAAGGTGAATGTCCTTCTGAACCTTTCCCCTGCACATTGCAACCATCACCAGATATTTCAGCAACACTATCAGGGATATGCGCATAAACAGAACCTTCATGGAAACTTTTGCTCTCGTTGTTAGACGGGAGAAACTCATAAACTCCGAAATTGCCATCTGTTGCTATGCGATCTCCAACATGGTCGCTGGTATTCACATTGGAAGTTTCACCCATATTATTGCCTATTGAACCTAATGATCCTTTCAACATAACCTCTCTCACAGGTTGTTGACAAAACGAACCGGGTTCAACACACACTCCCACATCAACAGATAGTGATTCTTCAGTACTTTTCACATGGTTTCTCTCATGAGCTCCAATATGATCATTAAAATTATTCACTTTGTTAAATGTACTACATGTGAACACGTGTTCACAGTTTCCCTCTTTAACTATTACCACATCATTGAGGGACAAATCATTCTTGTACATCTTTTCCCGATGAAGAGATGACTGGTGGTGCAATAGATCATCCTTCTGACTGAAAGTCATTTTGCATTCATCACAATGTAAAAATTTTCCTACTGTGTCCTCTGGCTGATCACCAGCATCCAATGTGACTTGCATTTCATGATTAGAAGATGTCGAACTAACAATAAGTGATGATGCAGGGCAAATCAGGTTTTTCTTTCTGTTGTCATCTTGGTTATTAACATTTGCAATCTGTAAAATGTTCCAAGAACAAATCAATAAACAAAAAGAAACCATACATAGGGACTTCGAAAGAAAGAAAAAGTAAATGCAGGGCAACTTACACTGACAGAAGACAAGCTGTTAGAATCATTCATACTCTGATTATTCTCAGCACAATCAACCTTATTCGTATCTTGGGCACAATGAAGAGAGAGCAAGTACGAAGAAATATCCTTGCACGATACAAACTGCCGTCCACTGGGGCTGGAAGAATATCACCAAATTAGCAATAACTCAAAAAAAATAATAATAATAATAAATAATAAGTAAAAAACTGAAATATGTTATCAATGAAATCAGATGTATGCCAATAGTACAATTCAGGTTCAGATACTCAAAGTAGCTATCGAAACAGATAAGCTTTTTAGAATCAATAAAATGTTTTATATAGCTTCATTTATATATCTGGAGTGAAGCTGAGAGGTTGAGATCTTTTCAGGAACTAATAAAATTATCAGGCAAATGCTGCCTTTCACTTGCCAAATTAATAAAATGTTTTTGGCACAGGATCTTCAAGTGCTCTAAAATGTTTTAAACTAATAAAAAAACAATAAAACCTTTTAGGGAAATAAATACCAGATAATATAGAGTGACAAATATATTCCCTCCACTCTATGAACAAGACATTTCCATTCATGAAAAACATTTGCGCCAAAGTAACAAACACCAAGCAGAGCGAAAGGTCTTGGAAACATAATGCATCTTGAAGTATTATTGCTACATCTCCTTGACCAAATCCACCCACACACCCACATTAGGGATCTCCTAGAGAAGGATGAAAATAACAAGGGCAAAATGGGTCTTCCAAGAGAAGGGAAATGAAAATTAGTAAGAGAAAAAAAGAGATTTAGAATCATAGCCTAATTGATTATACAAGCCCATTTTAAATGTATTAGAATTTTATTCATGGACAAAACTTTAACGGAACCACTTTTCTCAGGCCGTGAGAGGAGAAAGAAATAAGAAAGATCAATACAGCTTAAGTATGACGTAAACACTTCTAATAAAATTTATGTGAATGTGTAGGATGAATGGGTGATGCTTTGTTTAGAAAATTCTTTAGCCAGTTTTTACTATCGCGGCACCAAATCGAGACAAATGCTAAATACTATATATGAACTCAAAATAACCGCAATCGGGGTCAAGGTCAGCTATAACCAACAAATAAGGGAAGGAGGGAAGGACTTGCCTATACAACTCAGGGACCTCTATCTATTACTATGAAGCACCGAACAGATACGTATTGGATACGTCGACACACAATTTTTCAAAAAATTACTAACACGACACGTCGTCGATGCGTTAATTAAATACTTTAAAATTCTTTATTGATATAAATTTAGGCCCTGTCTGGACAAGATTAAAATTTGAGAGAAAAGTGATTTTTTGACCGTTGCTTAAGAAAATTGGGGCCCACTCTCTCTCACCAAGGAAGTCAAAAATTGCGGCCAAACGTCTCTAATTGTAATTAACAGCCGCACCAGACAGAGCCTTAGTTTTATACTTATAATTAGTTTTTCTTGTCGAAATCTTTTTAAATATGAGTTTTTGTTATTTAATAATAATTTTGAGTTAAAAATATATAATATTTCTGATAAAGAAAAAAAAAGACCATGGCAAAGCATTCAAGGAGTGTCGGTATCCGACATGTACCGAATATGAACACGTTACCCTAGTTGAAGTGTTCGTTCTATAGATATCAACTATGCAAGAATTGGGCAATTTTGTTCATGAATTTCATTAATAAGCGAAACATTAATCTAATGGAAGAGTATGTTACAAACATTGTACCAACCCCAATCATTTAACATATCAGAAGCTTGCATACAAAATTTTGATGTCCATTTCCCATTGTCCGACATGCACACATTAATGGAGAAGATATTTTTGCAAGTCTATTTAGGCCTCATAGATCCTTCCAAAGTAAGAGGCTAAGAGCATCTTCTAAAGGTTCTTTATCAATCACGTGTCTTTATTATAGAGAGTCAATCGTCTTTTTGAGGAATCCAACAAACTCTCTATATTGAAAAATTAAATTAAAGAGTCGATTTGACACTAGAGGGCCAGACCGCTATCTATACTTTTAGTGATTTCATTTACTATTTCACAACTTTTTTTGCACCATTATCATTATACATTAATTGGTAATTTTCGAAAGAGAGTAATAAATTGAAAAAAAATGGAAAGTAGGTTATTAAAAAGGGGAAAATGTCATTTTACAATAAACTTATATTCTTGTTTAGCGTTGATTTAGAATTTTACTAGTGAAATTTATAGAAATTGGGGAATGGTTATTTGTTTTTAAGATAACTTTGGCTCATATTTTGTATTACTAGTGCAAACAAAATAACAATTCATGTGCAAAAAAGTGCATATAATAGATATAAAACAAATTCAACATTAACCTCATACAACCTTTCTCACGAATTACAGATTCTCTTAAATAATTTTTTTATAATAAAAAATTCCCTAGAAACTGACTTGTCAGGCCATGCACCTTTCATTTAAGATATTAGAAGAATAAACACAAGACATGCAATGAGGCTTGTCACACACGTGTCTCATCAAATTCAAGCCATATTTGTGTTTAATGTGCATCAAAGATTGACACTCTACCCTAGAGAGTTTTAGTACTTCACTAGAAACTGCTAATTCATTAACATGTTTGGATTTCTAACTGCAAAAAATAGAAGTGCACATATTTATTTATCCACTCATCGAATTCTTCTTGTCCATATAATCAGCATTCTTTAGTCCTTTTCAAGCCTTGTCTACAATACGTGCAAACCCTAGATCACGTACAATGGTTTAGAGATAATTTTCTTTTGTCAAACACAGATCAATTTTCTGCCTTGCCTAAGTGCTTCATCATGTAGAATGGAGTCTTCCTAGAGTTTCATCACGAAAGTCTTAAAAATCGAATCATCTATTCCTAGTGAATTTTAATATATTCTGAACAATGCTGAGCACAGAACAATGCAACACTTAACAGCATACCTGTACACTGCACTATTCAACACTAGTTAATGAATATCAAGGCATACATAGCAATTTCCCCAATCGTCAAAAAGTAATCCAAATCTACTCAAATTTATTAGCTGTCTTTTTCCTAGTACATCTAGATTCCCCGATTGCAAAACACAAAGCAAACAAGAACCAGTAAATAAAGTAACAGTGTTGTTCGAATAAGAACCTTAGGTAATGACCACAATACAACCACACGCATCCTTTCTTCTTCTTTAGAGAGAGTAAGAGATTCCAACCAACTGGCAATGTGCTCCCGAACATACTTGCATCCACAATCCTCCTCTTCTTCCTGCTACTTCCCCACTTCCCATTCAATCCTTCCAGAAACCTCACTAAATCCTCTTTGCCGTTCAAGCCTTCTGTCCTCTGTTTAATTTCCTCCGCGTAAGGATTCTCCACTGTCCCCAAAGCCACCAAATCCACTTCCACCCCATCCCTATTCAGTAACGCCTTCCTATCTCTATCCACATCCCCCACATTCTCACTCATAATCGAACCGTTTTTATTACGATTACCATCATAAGAATCAACATTAGGATTAACCCCCAGCGTCGAGTTGGCGTTATTCTTCACAATTTCAAATTGACAAGGGTGACCCCGTTTCCGTTTATGGTTAACAGGCACCACATTGGACGAGGATGAGGAGGGAAATGACGATAATTGTTGGGGGAGGGAATAAGAGTAATCTATTTTAACAGGGATTAAATCTTCAGGGTTGGAGTTGGTGACAAATAATTGCTTAAGTAGATCGATAATCTGCGAATTTTTTTTCTTCTCTGGAACAGAATTACCATTATTACCGATCGTAACCGGTGTAGGACGGAGATGAGGAGTGCGGCGGCGAGGGGCGGATGAAGTGGCGGAGGAGGAAGAGGAGGCAGGAGCGAGGCGGTAGCGGGAATAAGTCTGTTTGCGGGAGCCAGCGGACTCATTGAAGACGCTCCGGTCGATCTTCGGAACTACGACGTCGTCACAACGAAGGGGGCCAACGGCGGAGGAAGAGCATAGAGAGAGGGAATATAGTTCGGATTGGGATAGTAAACGGATATCTAAAATGGGTATTGAGTCTACTTGGAGAGGGACATCGTCTGCGGCGGCGGAGATGACAATAGAGGTGGAATCGACGGTGGGGGAGGCCATGTTAAATTGTTGGAAATGAAAGAGAGGTACGGATTATATAAGGCGAAAGTTTAATGGATTTTTTTCTTTAAAAGGCATTAGTGGAGTTTATTTTTCAGTGTTTTGGATAGTGCAGTTTTAAGACAAATTGGAAAGATCGATGCTTTATGTTTTAGGAAATTGCAAAAAATGTCGATTTTCATGTAATCATTTACAAAAATGTCCCAAATTTTAAACTAAAATAACTTTGTTAATAATTTCAAATTCCACAATAAAGGCAAACTTTTTCATATAATTAAAAATTATGTTGACAAATAGAATTTTGACGAATCGAATGGTAGTACATTTTTTATAGTTATTAAATCATTTGCTTTTTGTCATTGTTAAATTTTTTTTTTCTAATTTTATCATCTATAAAACAATTTTTTTAAACCACATATTTTATTCAAAACTAAATTTTAAATAAAAATACGACATTTAAATAAATTATTTAGAAGCAAAAAAATTACATTATAACGAAAAAAATTTACTTATAAGATAAAAGTTCATTTTTTGTATAAAAAATTGCTTAAAAGTATAAACTACTATTAACAAGATAAAAAATCACTTATAAGAAGTTACTTATAAATGAAAATTTTAATTATGTATAAAAAAATATTTATAAGTAATTAAGTATAACAATACATTATAACTGTAAAGAGTTCTACTTATAGTAAAAAATTATTTATAATCTAAAAAATTATGAGTAAGTATTTCACTTTTTAAAATTTAAATTAACTTTTATGTAAAAGAGAATTAATCACATCAGGTTTGGGCATGCGCCCAACCTATGCAAGGTGCTAGTGTGTCACTTATAAGTAAAAAAATTGACATAACAAATTATAAAGAAAATTTTTAGTAAAGGATATATATTTTATTTTAGTGTTTATAAAACTTTCATTATTTTCTTATAATAAAATCTCAATTACTACTAAAAATTACAAAAAATTGGATCCTCATAAACTTTCAAAAACGATATTGAGGAGGAAAAAAATTACTGGTACTCCAAAATTCCTAAGCAAACAGTAAGGTTAAAAATTCTAAGGAGCGTGCTTTTGATTTTTTTTAATCTCTAAGGTTGTCTGAATGCCATTTTTTTAAATGATGTTTTAAATAGTATTTTTTTGAAAAATGTGGTTCAAAAATAAGAAAAAAATTTGGATTTGTTTGTAAAATATTTTATTATGTGAATGTGTAATTGAAAAATGAGTATATCTCACGTTCCGTGAATATCCTGGATATTGAGGAATATCCAGAAAAGAATTTCGGGAATCGGTCTCATTCTATTTATGTTCCTTTCGTTTGAAGAAAAGAAGGATCCCAATAATCACATATGATGAATTACACTTTCGATTTATAGAGACAGACTTTAAAAATAGCCCAGTTTATGAAGATTCTTATATGATGAATACCAATGAACATAACGACAATTCAAAATACTTATCAAAAAACCGGTTGCTCAAGTTTCTAACCCCGAACTAGTCGGATGGAGTAGATAATTTCCTTGTTATGTTAATTAAATAAGGAAAGCCCCTCCTTAGGCTCTGTTTGATCTAACGGTCATATTTCTTATTGTGATGAGGAAAAAATGAAAATCAAACATACACTAAAGAGTTTTGAGGTGGTAGTTAAAGTTGACGCCAAAACAAACGAGAAAGGATGAAACAAAGCACAAACTTCACAATTCATTTATTCGCCTCGTTTGTGTAATTGAATTATGATCTAATTTTTTTAAATTATCTCAACGATGTAACTTAGTTATCAATATCTAAGTTCCATTATCAAGTTTTGACATCCAAGTACATTTTCTTCATGTGTTTTCATAATTGTTCTTAGTGCCTTCGAAAGCCCAATCAACTTTTAATTCATTTGTGAACAGTCGTTAAAAGAAAAATGCATTTTTGTCTCAGACCATTAGCTGTCCCGGAAAAGTTGTTCTTTACAAAAAGTAGTAGTAAATAAATTTCCCTAGTCTAAACCCTCATTGTCTCATTCCAAATCAAGTCCACTCTTGCAGCTATCGACTCCCAAACACATTGTGGAAGATCACACAGTAATTTTTACCAACCTTGCTACATATACACTTTAGTTTACATTTTGTTTTACACTCTATCATATGGCATGATCTACACCATTGATTTTGAATACACACGTCACTATACTGCATAGATTCCCTCCGCATAGGGGAATGTCACTAATGCTCCGTGCATCTAGCATAATTCTTTTTATTGCATCTGACTGATAGATTTGTCTATCCATCTTGCCCGAATTTCGATCTTGATCAGAGTTGGCTCGAGCAACTTGGAGACCTTAGGCAAAAAATTTAGAGAGGCTTTTAAAAAAAAAAAAAAAAAAACTTATCTACTTGAAGAATATTCCATATTTGCATTAAATTGAAAATGAAAACATAATAGAAGTTCAATCAACTACAAAAATGGTAAAACCTTAACAATATTTAATCTTCATAAAAACTATGATCCAAAAGAAGTACAACATATTGCAATCAACAAAGAGAAACAATATTACTTTAATGTAACGACCTAGGCTTCGTGTCCGACCGTTTTATTACATACTATCCGCTTTGAAAGAGCATCGCCCTTCTTACCCTTCACAGATTTCTGTCACTTTTCCCAAAATTTGAACACATTACCTCCTTTCAAGAGAGACTTAAGTTGAATAAGGTCGTGTGTTCGAATCTTGGGAAGTGCCCAATTAGTATCAGGTTTCAACTTAAATTTCTCTTAGGGGAGGTCACGTGTTCGAATTTTGGGGAACACAACACAGAGCCATGAGAGGTAAGAGAGCAGACGCCCTCCCATAACAGCCAATATGTAAGATAACGATCGAGCACGAGGTTTTAGGTCATTACAAAAAAATGCGTGTCTTTTTTTGTAAAGATCCGACTTCTATGCACAAGTCGTTAATTTATGTACTGTCTGATTTGGAGAGCTTGAGCCCATCTTACCTACGAATTTCTGTAGCATCCCTAAGATTCGAACCCTTGACTTTTTCCTTAAAAATGGCTTAAGTTGATAATTTTGTTTTTCTTTATTGATTGCAGTGTGCTGTTTTGTTTCTTTTGAATGATATATTTTATGAAGATTAAATATTGTTAAGATTTTACCATTTTTGTAGTTGATTAAACTTCTATTACGTTTTCATTTTTAATTTAATGTAAATATGGAATATTCTTGAAATAGATGAGCATTATTTTTTTAAAATATTACTATTGTTGAAAAGTATCTTTAAATTTTTTGCCTAAGGTCTCCAAGTTGAAATAAATATCAACAAAAAATTCGAAAAATAGATTTTGTTAAACAAAATGTTATGAACAACGAAAAAATTATCGGATAATTTCGATACCAATTTGTTGTGATAATAGACGAGTAAATAATATGACACAATATGAAGTAATTGATTACAAACTCAAGAATGAAATAATTGGAATAGGAATGGAGATTTCACTAAAATATAGAGAAAGAATTACAATAATTTTGTATTTTTTATTTGTCTAACTTAATCTAAAATATAATGAAAAAATAAGTATATATAGGAGATATTTCAAATCCTAAAAGTAGAGTTATAAATGGAAATGAATGCTCGAAATATGTAAAACGTGAAAACGGGCCAAGGATAGATGAATATAGCGCTGGAGCGATTGGACGCTCGAGCGTCCGGCTGGCGCCCGGTAGACACCAACTTCACTGCTTTGGGCACTCGAGCTCTAGTCGCTGCAACGAGCATAGTTGAGCCAAGAAGTCTTCCTTGGATTATATCTTGATCTCTTGAAGTCCAACTCCCAATTAGGCTTCCAATAGAACTTCAATTAGAATTTGTCAAATAGACTTTGGATAGGATTCCAAAAGTATTATAACAGATAGAATTACTCTTAATGTCGACCTTAATTAGAATTTTCAACCATCTTTAAAATAGAATTCGGGGAACTCCCTAATTCTAACAAAATCCACATTGATACGAATTCCACTGCAATGAGTAAAATTTAAAGATTCTCCACCAGGAGACAAACTCCACTGCAAGAAAAGAACTTCAACTCTTCAATAAAAAAACACAAACGAACTTCTCCATCAAAATTTCCAGCTTAGAAATATTATCCACATCTACAACAAAATCCAAATGGGTTCAAACTCAAAAACCTGAGTAATCAAAATTTCAAGACCACCCTTAGACACCAAAATTGCCTGAATCACGAGCAATAAATTCAAATGTGATTAACAATCACCAAACAATGTTGAAGCAAGCCTTGTAATAGAATTACCATGAAATGCTTCAACTAAAGGATCTTTGTTAGAATCATCACCTTTAATCGCGAACGAAGCAGAATTAACTAAATCAGCATCTTTGTACCTATGTGGAGGCATATTCTTAAAAATGGATCTATTTCTAGAAATTGAATACAATGGCACCAATGGTAATGGTGACAATGTGGAATTATCCATAACTTTCGAATTGACTTAAAGATATTCATAAAAGTAGACCCCAAACAAAACTTTGACGGTATTGAACCAAACTCACAATCTAACTGAGCTCCAACTTTATGGTGATTGACCAAAGATTTTGTAGAACCTTACAAGACATATAATTGAGACTCTTTCTGTTCCTGCAACACAATATGAGCACATCTACAAACCTTTAAGACTCCACTTTTACTAATGAATTTGTACCCTTTCAAGTCAAGAGAACTTGAGGAGATAATATTTTTCTTCAAATCATAAACGTGCTACACAGCATCAAATGTTTTGACACTTTCATCAATCAACTTCATTCTAACCCTTTCTATACCAGCTATCCGATAAGGTGTATTATTACCAGTCACAACACCTTTAGAAACTAATTGGGGGACTGTCTATAATAAATGTTACTGCGGAAGTTTTTCCCGATTCACATCTTGGGTATTGCATGTACCATATACAAGACAACCTGAAGATTAGGTATAGGGGCAAAAGTATCGTTTCATTGTTCAG